AAATATCACCCACAAAGCGGGTCGTTAATGTTAAAATTAAAGTTAAAACCGTCCAAGTAAAATATTCAGGTTCCTCTTAGTGGATAGTCCCAATGGGGGAGGCGTCAGCACGAGGTTGTGTGGGCTGCAAAGATATTGTATTACGTTAGGTTTTATCCATTATAATATATTTAACGTTGAATATTAAATAATATTTGATGCTGGCCTTACCTTGTGGTCGGTTGTGTCCGACGCGTAGTGTATTGTGTAGTGCAGTGGAGAGGCCACGTCGATGTTATTTAAAGCTATGTGTATCGTGACGTGAAGGGGGGGTGTGTGTGTACAAGTGTACAAGTGTGAGAAAATGGTGACAAGAATATATATTGTTACACTCGACGGAGGTTCTATTGATAATTGGTAAAACCATCACCTTTCCTCAACGGCCTGTCAAGAGTATCATGAGTGTATGACTTCTCTACTCAAGGCACATACTTAGAACAAATTTACTTATTGCTCCATATTATCGAGAGTAGATTGTAAATATTTTCTAAATTAAATAGAAAAAATTGGTGTTCAAAAATCTGCCTTTGAAGCTCGGTAGATGTGGGGTAATAATGTTACGGTCTTGATTTGTAAGTTTTGATTAAAGTCTTGACACTAGTACATAGTAATGAAGTACGCTCACATTAAGAATTTTTAATGTATAATTTAATTTTACTTGCTTTGTTTATTAACAGATAGGCATTTGAAAGTGTTGATTTGTTGACAAATTTGCCAGTAGGTGTGGTTTGTAATAATTTGCTAGTATCCAGTAGCAACCCAAATTTAAACTTAATTTAAAACTATCATATTGGCTTTTCATTCAGACAATATAAACATATTTATACAGTCAATTTATTTTCCCATTTATATATATTAAGGTAACATCATATTCCTTTGTAGGCTGCAGTCTCACATTACATGATTAACCCATCCAGCAAATGCTGACAGAAATATTTAATAAGTCATTAAAATAAACTATGGTAATGAAATATTGTGACATAGAAGTAGGCAGATACATTAAAACTCTCAACGGTTGTGGAATTTGCAGATTACTGGTGATGCTTTAAAAAACCAGATAAATTCATAATACAGAGGCTAAGTTAAACAGAATTCGTTCATTGATTTCTTTTATTAAAGATAATTTATTACATTGTGGTAACAAGTTAAAGATAATTTATTACATTGTGGTAACAAGTTAGTACCAATATATTCTTTCTCTTCTGGTACCACAGTTTTCTTTATCCCTATGTGGTGGTGTTTTCTGCTCTTTATAAGTTGTCTTTACATTAATTAACATAAATCTAATTGCTCCAGGCATATATTTTAAATTGTATTTTTCTTCCCAGCTATAAATTGTGGTACAGTTATCTTGGTCTTCGAAGGAGACAAATCAAGGGACGCTGCATTACGGATCCCTCATATGAAGATGTAAATAATGCGTTTGAGAGGTCATTGGTTTTCATGCATAAGGTGAGTTTTTTGTGTCTGTGCACGTGCGTGCGTGCGTGCATGCATGTGCGAACTCACAGTTAGAAATCAAACTGTATATGAAGTTGGAATTCTGTTCAAATTTGAAGTCTGAAGAAAAATGCTGAGTAGGTTTTTATGTACTGTAGTTTTTTATTGGCAACATTCATTGCACAGCATTGATGAAATTTAACTTCAGTACTTAATGAAATGGTTCCAGGCCATACTGCCCTGTCTAGATTAGAAGTAAACTTGAACAATACCTCGTTCAATATCTCCATATTAAGAGTACAAACTGGCACGTCTGATATAATACATTATTTGCATGCTTAAAAAAACAAATATAAAAATACTATAATAATAATTGCAATATTCTGCAATAGTATTTTAATCTAATTTGGGACTTTACATCCACTCCCCCATATGCCCCTATGGCACAGTGCTTAATTACTTAAGCACGGGGACAACTTTACCTTTACCAGCAAATGAAAATGCAGCTTTGTTGTAATGGGGTCTTTCTTAAGGTTGAGGCTGTGATACTAGTTCCAACCAGGTGAAGGCAGAGGGCAACCAAGAAAAGGAGGAGGCCAATAGGAAGGCCAACAAAGAAGATTTCATTGCAAGAATTGACACCAATAGGAAAGCCCTGCGAGAAAATATGGCTGCAGAAAGAGAAGCCATCCTAGCAGAAACAGAAGCGATCAAAGCAAGGACGGCAGCCACGCGAGAAAATATGGCCACCAGCCACAAGGAGATGGTGGCTATACTCAAACCAGAACAAGATGTAAAGACGTGGCCTGCCAAGAGATGGAGGCGTGTCAAGAAGAAAAAGAGCCGACCTCAGTGGACAGGAAACCTGAGGTGGCCCAACAACAAGAAGTCCCCAACTAAGATGTAGTGAAACCGGTCAAAGGATGGAAGAAGCAGTATAGGGGCAAGAAGCAAGCTGCAGGGCGACGCGAACTGGAACTGACCCGAGGAATTTGTGGATCCCAGATGAAATTGGCTGCCTCCTGCAGAAATGTGTCCCACCATGCAGCAGTGGCATAACTCAAGAGGAATATCTTCAGGAAATCTTGGACCCAAAGAAATTGTGGACCGCAGAAGAGAAGCAACACAAGGATGTCCCGTCGCACAACAGTGGCATGATGCAAGAGAGACATCGTGAAGAAGAACCTTACTCAGGGAACTGGTAGACCCAGGAGGAAGCGATTGGTCGCGGCCAACAAGAAGATGACTAGCTGTGCAAATGTGACACAGCACAAGAGACTCAGACTCCAGGGAGATCAGTTGGAGTCACGCACATGCCCACATAAAGATGTATCAAAGAAAGCATGAGGAGAACTTGAACGTGAGAGGACAACACAAGGACTCGTCCTGAAAGGAAAATTTGAGGCAAATGCAAGTGCACAAGCAGACGTGCTGCACGGAATCCCAGCAGATACGAACATCAAAGACTGGGCACTATGGAGGGGTCAACCCCCTCCAAAATGAGAAAGAAGCAGAGCACAGAAGAGGAGCCGGTAAATTAGAAACACCCGCCTCCCCAGAGAGAATGAATGTGCGATGGATGAATGTGATACAACTGGATCTTCTGGCAATTTAACAGGAAACCGCTCGAGACAAGCTGGTCTTAAGAGGGGAGCTGATGTAACGGATGGAGGATAGTCGCTGCAAGATGAGTAGCCGGACAAGAAAGAAGAAGATGCTGCAAGAACAGCCCACAAATAAAAGGAACAGAGATGTACCGTTAGGCTATTCGGGATGAACAGCGTTAAGAAGGGACCAGTGTGACGTATTGCACTATGGAGGACATCCCCTCCCCCACCAGCAGTGACATAACACCTTCGGAGCGTTGCCACTGCTACAGCAACAGACCAGTCAACACTCTGCACCCTTACACGGTGAAGTTACCAAGGGATACCGCGTTTGCTGTGCAGCAATAAACAGCTCTCGACAGTGTTGCTAGGCAATCGGTAAACACGACGTTACACAACAATGAAAGCTATCACGTAACTGTTTTGTGTGTTGTCAGTGCAGAAGCTACATACCAGTCAGTAGTGAGTATTGAGCCAGTTACTAGAGAGAGAGAGTAACCATTCTGTTGACACTTAGCAGCCACCGAAGACAGTTGAATTGTAGTAGTCACCGAGTAATGAGTGAATTGTGATAGTGTGAAGAGATTTGTATGTAGGGTTTGTAAAGTGTGTAAACCCACATCATTGTCATAATTAATTGTAGTTACAATTTGTAGGTTGTTAAATAAACCAGTTAAAAATCCGAATGGCATCATCAGTAGAAAACACGTTACAGCATATTTAATTCCTTCTTTTTATTCCAGATGCCAAGAATTTGGCTTGACTATTGTCAGTCTGATAGATCAGTGCCTTATAACGAGAACACGACATGTGTTTGATCGTGCGCTTCGTGCTCTACCAATTACTCAACATCACCATGTCTGGTCTCTCTATCTGGAATTTGTGAAAATACATAACATTCCTGAAACAGCTGTTAGAGTTTTTAGAAGGTACCTTAAGGTTAGTACAACTTTTAATCATAAACTCTGGGATGGGATAGTAAGCTACTTAGGGTGATATCAATATGAAACGCAGATAAATTTCACCTTTAGGTTCAAGTCCTATGAGGGCTGCCACTGGCTTTGCACTTTCTTAAAAAATCAAACAAATCTATATACAGTCAACTCTCGAGTATCCGAGGGCGGATTAACCAGTTTGCGGGTTAACCGGGTCTACTGAGGCTTTTGTGAGGCTTATATCTTGTTTAATATTCATTCACTTTTGTTTCACATGGTGAGTTGTAACACGATTTCCGCAGTAGTGTGAACCGAGCTCTGCATTCTTTGGTCCCGTTATGCTAACACAATGTTCTAGGGTAAGGGTGAAAGAATGCAAGGAAGTGTTAAGTGTGAATATTCGTAAAAAGTGTTGGATGTTGTTGAAGACTGTGATTGAAATAACTAATTCATACTTCAGTGTAATGTAAAAAAAAGTATTAAATAGGCCATGAAATGACGTAAAAATGAGGTTGAATAAATTTAAATACAGGTAGGCCAATAGTATTATGAAGGTACAATATTACACTTCTACTTTTAATAAAATTTGTCTTAACCGGGTTTTCGATTAATCGTGATTTCCATCCCCACCATTATTCCGGATAATCGAGAGTTGACTGTATATATAAGTAGCAGAAATATTCTAGTAAATGTATGTCTTCCGTTTCACAGTTATATCCGGAAGATACGGAAGATTACATCGAATATTTGATATCAATAGGACGATTGGATGAAGCAGCAATGAAACTAGCTTTCATTGTGAACAAAGAAGATTTTATGTCAAAGCATGGCAAGTCGAATCATCAGTTGTGGAGTGAACTTTGTGAGCTAATTTCAAAGTATCCTGATAAAGTAAGGTGAGAATATTGCTTCTTCCAGTTCATTATTATGAGGGAGAGTCAGTAAATAGGTCATAGATGAAAGTAAGACACCTGTAATGGATGAAATAGGTTTTCTTTGTAGCAGCATAGTCCAACATCAGGATAGTCTAGGTAGCAGACGTGCACATGAATGATCAGAGGCTGGTTTCAGTAGTCAAAATGGCAACTGCTTGAGCAGCGTAACACTGAAGAGCAGCATTGTGTTGTGCGGTTTATGTGGGCAAAACGACTCAGTGCAAAGGATATTCATAAAATATATTTCCTGTTTACTGTGGGAAGTGTTTGTCGCATAAAGCGGTTCACAGCTGTGGTTGAGATATTCCCTCAGGGATGTTCGAAAGTCTCAGACGATGAAACAGAGGTGCAGAACAGTCAAAATACTTCTAAGCTGCAGGTTTCTACTCTTTGGTAAAGAAATGGGACAAGTGTATCAATGTTGGTGGAGGATATGTTGAGAAATGAAAGTTTTTTCGAGGTTCTAATATCACACGTTTTACATTTTATATCCGCTTGTGACCCATTTACTGACACTGCCTCGTATTTTGAAGTTGAGAGTATGAGTTGATATTGTCATGTGTAGGGTTGACTGTAGATAGGGTTTTGATTGGTGACTAAATTGACCACTTACAGATCATAACTACAAATAACAATAAGACTGTTGCTATTTCCACAGTTCACAGTTCATTAGAGCACACATTCTAGTGTTCTCAGTCTGCTACTAGACATTTCATGGGAATGGCTCCAACAGTGGCTATTCCTCTGCCACCAGCTCAAGTCCTCTCTTCACAGCCTCCCATTCAGAACCTAACTAGTTCCATGGGAATCCCAGACTATCAGAATATTGTACAGTACTTCCCCCCTAACTGAATCATAGGCTTTCTTGAAGTCTATGAATACCTGATGTACTGTCTCATTATACTTCCATTTTAAATCCTGTATTTAATATTGTTTACTGTACTACACAGTCCATCAACAATGCAACAGATTGTTCCTTCATTCTTACACTCTCACATTGCACACAACATGTTTCGGCCCTAAATGGCCATCTTCAGGTGTGTTACTACTGCTGCACTGCACCAATATTGTCGTTTCGTTGCATATGCAACTGCATGCTTCATGGTTTAAAATGTCATACTCGTAGTCAATCGGTATGCTATAAAATCTATTAAAATTTTCTATTATAATTTCATTTAAATTTTATAAAATTCTTATTGCACTTCACAAGGGCATTGTACAGGATGATTGGAATTCTCATAATTTGTGGTCCACAAGAAGTATTAGTAGGATGATTACGTCAAGGGGGAGCTTATGGGTTGGACATATAGCACTCTCAGAACTGACGAGAAATACATACAAAATTGGCAAGGTTCAGCTTCTTGTTTTCCTCTATTTTTGTTAAGTCGACAATCTAAAGAAATACCTCATCAGTTGAGAAGACTTCAGGTTTTCACAAATATTCCTTGTGAGGGTATGTTACGCATTATAAAAGCTCAAAGAAGATAAACGCTTAAGTGAAGACACTGAAATTGACATATTAAATACTTTATAATATAATCCTCAGACACATATGTTATTACAGGCCACTGTTAATAGGAAAAGCATAAGACGTTCGGTATTAATTTATTAGAATGACAAATATACTGTAACGTGTTTCCGTTACTGAAGCCGCCGTAGAGATGGTTAATTGGTTTATTTAACAATCTACAAGTAACGGCTACAATTAATTATCACACAGTTGCGGGGTTTCACACTTTATAACCCTAATCGCATTAATCTGTTAACACTGTTGCGGGGTTTCACGACTTATAACCCTATGCGCAAATCAGTTCACTCTGTCTTCAGTAGTA